GGTTCGAGAAAGAACCCAAGTGTTGGGTTTCTTCTCGAACCTAGGCAGCTGGGTTCTTCCCAAGGCCTGGGTTCCAACGAACCCAACGCTTGGGTTCTCGAAGGAACCCAGCCACCTAGGTTCTCGAAGGAACCCAGCCACTTGGGTTCTCGAAAGAACCCAGGTGTTGGGTTTCTTCTCAAACCCAGGCGGCTGGGTTTCTTCTCGAACCCAAGCGGCTGGGTTTCTTCTCGAACCCAAGCGGCTGGGTTTCTTCTCGAACCCAAGCGGCTGGGTTTCTTCTCGAACCCAGGCAGCTGGGTTCTTCCCAAGGCCCCAAGGGTTGGGTTCGTTTGAATCCAAGGGCAAAAAAATTTCTATTTTTTTTTTGTTTTGTTTTGTGGGTTTGGTTGTTTGATCGAATTGATTGTTTGAATGAAGGAAGATTCGAGAAGAAGATGCTGGAGGAAGAAGATGATGCAAAATTGTAATTTGGTGGGCCCCACTTTTGTTTTTGTGTTGGGTATGACCATGTCGACAACTGATGTGTCTTAAATTTTTGATATGTCTGTGAGTTAACAGACGATTTTTAACGGAAGGACCAAGTTGGGGTAAAATGGGTAAACAGTAGGAACCAAATCAGGGATTTTTTTAGTTCAAGAACTAAATCAGGGGTCCGTACAATAGTTCGGGGACCAAAAAGGGGTTTTAACCAAAACAAATTGCTGAAATTATTAATGAAGAACCTTCCTACCGCAACAACCAGATCCACACCGTCTTCAATGATTCCATCAATTTGGGTCCAGTTTTGAAGGAAACAGCCGCTACTCTCCTATGCCTCCACTACCCTCAACTGAGCAAGCATTTATTACCCTTTCAAGTCAAACCAAATTAGAGTGAGTGGTCAACACGCATCGTTGCATGGCCAATAGTAACTGAAGGTGGATGGCCGGCATGGGTAAAAAGGTTGGAACCTCACTTTGCAGATGTATGGAAAGCAACTGGAATTTTTTAATTTATTCATATGACCACAACTCAAGTGCCGATAAACAAAGCCATTCTGACAGCAGCTATGTGTTTTTGGTCATGCTCCTATAATTACTTTCACTTCCCTTGTGGTGTTATGTCCATCTCTCTATTTGAAATTTGTTCTTTAACCGGTCTTCTTTGCATCGGAGAAGAGGTTTCTACCTTGTTGCCAGCTGTTCCTGTAGAAGAATATGACCCTGGTGACACCAGAATAACTTTCTTGAATTTCCAAAGGAACTTAATTCTCACCACCAAGAGTAAGAATCCAGATCAAAGAGAACATATTTCCTTTTTATTGTGTTTGATCTGTAAGTTTATGGTCTGCCTTACTGGGAGGTGTGTTGCCAAAGAGTTCATTCCTCTTGCTGTCGGTTTGGCACATGGTAAAAAATTTGCTCTTGCTCAATTTATGCTCGGCTATATATACCGTGGATGCTATGATGTCACCATCTTTCCATTCGAGAAATTTAGTGGTGCTTTTTAGTTCCTACAATTGTGGCTTAATTCTTATTTCCCAACTGTTGCCCCTGAATTTGAGAAAGTTGATGAGGAAGATTTGCTACCTTACGGCACGTGTGTCCAAGATGCAAAGAAGCTGCCGCAAAGTTTTAAGACATATTTTAACCATTTTGCATCCCTCTCAATTGACCGGCCAAATGTAGAATTTGCAGTATTTCTTGAAAGGAAGTATGGCCCAGAATGGTATAAAGCAAATAGGAGCAAAGAGGAATTCAAAGCTTGTTGGAAAGCTTACATCTCTCCAAGAGATTTATTCATAGGCTGCAGCATTGGGGGGCCACAATCAAGGTGCAGCTCAGAGCTATATGCTCCTAATCAATTCTGTCGGTAACTTGGATATTGCCAGGACATCCCTGCTCCACCTCAGTTTACTGGAAATGTTTGCTTCCCTTTGAGGTTCCTCTTTCTTGACATCGAATCAATATAAGAGCAGGTTCAACTTACCAGCACGTTCCTCAACTCAATCGACTTTCAGCCACCTCCACTTAGCCATCCCGACTGCACTAAAGCTTATAAAGACTGGTGGATGTCACACTTCACATCACGCTTTGGTGCTGTAATGAATTCCTTGGACCAATTTGCTCCCCTAGAAAATAACAAAAAGGAAGACAAAAGCAAAGTCGAAAATCCTCCACCCATTGGCAAAGTCAAGAATTCCTTAAATAAGAAACCAAAGACGCAACCTGCTAAGAGGAAAATGTCTTCTCCACAGATTTCTGATAAAGAGGATGCACCAAATAAAATTGCAAAAGGTAAATTTTCGGCCTTCATTGTTTTGCTTCTTTCCTTGTATGAAACTAATCCAACTTTATGCAACAGCATCTATTCATAGTTCCACTAAGCTTGTGGTCACAAAGGTCGATCCTCCTTGCTCAATGGCCAAAGCTATTCGGTCTTCCCCTAGGGTTACAAGCAAATTTTTTCAAACTGTAGAATCAAATGAGCAAGCCGACTTCACAAGAGAAGAATTGCAGCCGGTCACCACCTCACCGCCAAAGCCTATTGCTCCTGCACTGGTAGATACACATACTTTCTTCATGTTTCTTGTTGCCACTTAATTTTTTCTTTTTAATTCATGTGGCTGCCATATGGATTACAGGCTGCTTCACTCGTGATTGAGATAAATGATGATGTCCTTGAGAGTGAGATTTTTGCTCAACTGGACCTTTTGGATGACTTCTTGGAAATAGAAAGGTCCATGCCTCCTAGCTCAAAAGATAAGATCGTGGAAGAAGAAAAGAACAATATGGATATCCCTTCTCAAGAATCCATCGATGCTGCCACCCGCCTTCTTCTTGAGCTATTGAATGGTAATCCATCTGAACTTTGCCAAGTCGTTGATCAAAATGAGGCATTCAATGCTGCTAAGGTCTTGAGCAAGGCTCCCACACTGGATGCATCAGTGCGTATGTTTTGGAGCAATTTCCCTACTGTTTACAAGAACTTTAGCTAGCGGTTTATGAATGAGAAAAAAGTTGTGTCAGAAGCAACCGCGGCTGTAGATCTTGCTCGGCAATGTAAAGATGCAGTAGAGAAGAAAAAGGGTATTTATGAAAAGGTGAAAAATAGCATTAGCACCCAAATGAAGCTGCATCAAGACAACCTAGATGAGATTGCCGAACTAGAAGCCCGCCTTGCCGAGCTGAAAAAGGCAACAACAAAGGACGAAGACAACCTCAAATCCCTTAAAGGCGAGAAAAGAAAATTACTAGTTGAGCTCAAGGAAGAAAGACGTGAAGCTTTAGCTGCAAAGAGTGAGGCTGCACAACAGGAGGATAAAGCAAAGGAAGCTAACAACACACTGCAGCAAATAAAAGATGAGTGGGCCACCTGGATGCAGAACGTTTGCTAGGTTTTTTTTTTTTTTTTAGTATCATTCATCCTTGTCACGGCCATTAAGCCGCTTGAACATTTGTTTCCAAACTTCTTTTTGTTTTTCTTCTTCTAATGATGAACATGAATTTATTTGCTTGCTTTATTCATACTGCCCACAGCTTTGCAAACAAAGCCGCTCTAAAACACAAATGTAAGAACATGCCATGCCTCCTTGGCAGCACCAAGTCTTATGCATGTTTCCATGGTTCAAGCCAAAACTCTACGTGTCCTTATTGAAAGAAAAACAACTTGAATCAAATAATACACAAATGTCTGCAAACCTGGATCATGCAGACGTGGAGGAGGCAGAACTATCTCGTGCCTCCCACACAGTCGGATAATATGGTTTCAAGTAGATGCCATTGATCTTGCGCGGATGCAACTCCCCATTCAAAGACTTTAACCAAAAAGCACCCCCTTTAAGAACTTTATGAATTTGGAATGGTCCTTCCCAATTAGGGGACCACTTACCATATCTGAGATCCTTCTTGCCAAGCGGCAGCACAACCTTCCAAACCAAGCTTCCTTCGGCTAAATTCTTTTGCTTGACCTTTTTGTTGTAAGCTCGTGCCACTTTAAGCTTATGAACTTTCATCACATCCAATGCTGTCAGCCTTGCTTCCTCAAGGTCTTCCAACTCCATGATCATGGCCTCATTGTATTCCCCAGAATTCAAGCCATTTTGAATTGCAATCCACAGAGACCTTGCTGTTAATTCCATAGGCAAGATAGCATCATGACCATAAGTAAGCGAGAATGGGGTCACCTTAGTTGAACTTCGTTGTGAGCTTCTGTATGCCCAGAGAGTATCTAAAAGAAGCTCATGCCATCTCTTGGGATTATCATCAACCATTTTCTCCAGGGTGTTGATGATAATCTTATTAGATGCCTCTGCTCGACCATTTGCTTGTGCATAATGTGGAGTTGAATTAAGCAAATGAAATCCCATGTCTTTTGCAAAGGCCTCTACTTGAGATCCAACAAAAGCAGTACCTTGATTAGAAGTGATAGTTTCTAGAAGACCAAACCTATGGATCAGATCCTCTTTTATGAACTTGATGACATCTCCTTGCTCAACCTTCTTCATAGGCCTTGCCTCCACCCACGTAGTAAACTAGTCTGTAGCAACTAGTATGAAAGAATGACCTTTAGAAGAAGGTGGGTAAATTTTCCCAATCAAATCAATTGCCCAGCCACGAAAAGGCCATGGCTTGACAATAGGATGTAACTCAGAAGCTGGCGCTCGCTGCAAAGGACCATGCAGCTGACAAGCTCTGCAGCCCTTTGCATAATTGATGCAATCCTTAAGAATAGATGGCCAAAAGAAACCATGCCTTCGAATTAGCCATCTCATCTTAATCCCTGCCTAATGAGCACCGTAAATACCATTATGAATGTCTAACATCACATGGCAACTTTCATCAAGACCGAGGCAGCGCAATAATAATTTATCTTGCCCCCTACGATACAGAACATCCCCGAGTATCACATAGTTTAAAGCTTGCATCCTCATTCTCCTTGATGTTTTAGAATTGGGATTCCTCAAATGTTTCATTTTTGGATGCCTCAAGTCTGTAGGTGTGACATCTAATGAGCATGCTTCCACCGTTATTCCTCTTTGATTAATTGAAGGCAGCATACGTTTTTCAATGACGATGACTTTCTCCAAGATGCCTTCAGGCATTTTTACATCTGAAGCAATCTGCGCAAGTTCATTTGTTTCAATATTCATGCTGTGAGGAATATGCTTTAGGGAGACATCATCAAATTCCTCCAGTAGTTGGATGGCAATGACAAAATATGGAGACAAAACCACGCTTGTACACTTGTATTCGCCACTCAATTGCTTGAGAACTAATTGAGAATCACCCACAATTTCAACCGATGGTACCTTCAACTCTACCAACAACTCAAGGCCAATTACCAAAGCTTCATATTTTGCTTGGTTATTGGTGTATTCAAAATCCAACTGAAAACACCATTGGGTTTTTATGCCATATGGAGAAACAATAATAATTCTAGCCTCAAAAGCTTGATTAGTGCTAGACCCATAAAAAATAAGCCTCCAAGGAACCAAGTCAATCAAAAATAGATTGATTCCTTTGTCTTCATCAGCGTTAACATCTAAACAAGGATGATCTGCTAAAAAGTCTGCTAAAGCCTGCCCTTTGACGGCCTTTTGAGGCAAATATCTCAGATTAAATTTAGTAAGTGCAAGAATCCACTTACCAATGCGGCCTTTTAAGAGTGGCCGCGACAACATGTATTTTATGACATTAATTTTTGAAACAACAAACACCTCTGAATACAATAAATAGTGCCTTAATTTTATTACTGCAAAGAACAAAGCCAAACACAATTTCTCAACCGAAGAATATTTCACTTTGGTCGGATTCAAAGCTCTACTCAAATAATAAATAGCTTGTTCTTTTTTATTATTATTCTCTTACGTTAACAAACAGCCAATTGACTCATCTGTGGTGGATATATACAATAATAAGGGTTTATTCTTAACTGGAGGAACCAACACAGGTGGCTTGGACAAGTATTCCTTGATGACATCAAAGGTGGCTTGGTGTTGCCTTTCCCATTTAAAATCTACATCAGGCTGCAACTTCAAAAGAGGTGAAAAGACACGAGTTTTGCCTGCCAAATTAGAAATAAACCTCCTTAGGAAATTAACCTGACCAAGAAACCTTTGTAATTCCTTTTTATTTTGTGGTGGCCGCGCTTCAATTACAGCCCTTGCTTTGTTTTTGTCCACCTCTAGGCCTCGTTCATGGACTAGAAAACCCAAAAAATTCCCTACTATAACACCAAAAGCACACTTGAGAGGATTCATCTTCAAACCATGCTATCGCATTCTTTCAAAAGCTTTCCTCAAGTGCTCCAAATGTTCTTCATCCTCCATGGATTTAACAACAACATCATCGATATAAATCTCCATGAAGCGGCCAATCATATCATGAAAAATTGCATTCATGGCCCACTGATATGTAGCTCCTGCATTTTTCAACCCAAACAACATCACGACCCATTCATACGTACATATGTTTCCAAGGCAACGAAAGGTCATTTCACTTATGTCTTCCTCTGCAATAAAGATCTGATTATAGCCACTATACCCATCCATAAAAGATAAAATGCGATGGCGTGCAACCCCATTAACAAGTAAATCTGCTACTGGCATGGGGTATTGATCCTTTGGTGTGGCTAGATTTAAGTTCTGAAAATCAATGCAGACTCTGAGCTTTCCATTCTTCTTCACTACTAGAACAATATTAGACAACCATTCTGAGTACCTAGATGTACGTATAAAACCAACTTTATGCAGCCGCTCCACTTCTTCCTTCACCTTCAAGATCACTTCTGGAGACATAACGCGTGGCGGCTGTTTGTACTACTTATATCCTTTGTTGATTGGTAGTTTATGCTCTACCAACTCTCGGTCTAAACCTGGCATCTCAGAATAATCCTAGGCAAAGCAATCTTTGAATTCATGTAGTAAACAAATTATTTTATCTCGCATTTCTGGCGGTAGTAAGCCACTGACAAAAGTAACGTGTGGCTCTGCCTCTGTTCCCAGATTAACTTCCTTCAATGGATCTTGTACATCGGCCTTGAGGTCATCCAGTTTTGCAAGGGCCAGATCTAACTCTTCCATTGTGACTCCGTCAGTATAGGTGTCTTCCTCACCTTCATGTACCACCTCCGACAGATTTGCTTTTGTATTTCTTTCAGCAAAATAGGCCACTAATTTCTTTAGAATTTCATATACGGCCTCCTTTCTTTCTTTGTTTATCCTGGATTTCTTCATAATAACTCCTCAATTTTGGGCTCCTCTTGTGGCCTATATGGAATAATGGCAGTAGGCCGCAAGAGTTCATTGCATACCTTGTCAACCACATACTTAGCCAAGGTAGGCTTGTTGCAAGCGGTGATTCCACGAGGTCTTCCTTGTCTATCCATGCCGAAGAAATGGATGGTTCCTACGTCTTCATCATAGTATCGTGCTTCCACCATATTGGAATTGGCTAAGAATGGTCCGTTGTCAGCATAAACTACCTCAGTTTTGCCTCCATTCCAAAAAATGAGTCTTTGATGGAGAGTAGATGGAACACACCAATTCGAATGGATCCAATCACGTCCCAGTAATGCATTATAAGTTGCAGAAGAGTCTACAACAAAGAAAGCACTCATTGATGTCTTGCTGCCGACAGTAAGTGCAATCGGCAGTACTCCTTTTGATTTGCTAACACCACCTGTGAAATCACTGATGGTTACGTCAGTATAAACCAAGTCCTCAGAATTTTTACCCAAATTCCTCAGCATAAAAGAAGGTATGACGTTGACTACTGCTCCATTGTCAACAAGGACTCGATTCACTGGAACTCCATCCATGTGAGCTGAAATGTAGAGTGGCTTTATATGACGAGCCATACTTTCATTTGGTTTGTTAAAGATAATTTGTTCTGAACGGATATTGTGCTCCTTTTCCTCTTCTTGGGCTGGAACCTCTATCACTTCTTCTTCAACAAACATGCTGCCATTGGAAACATGGGTAGGAACATGGGTAGTCTCATTGCCCTTGGCTTGAAAAACCAAAGGAAGTGTGAGAACCAAACAAGAGAGGTTAATACAGATGCTGCCGATCTGCAGAACATCCATGTCCTCAAGAAGATTATCATCACTAGTCAACTCTGCTTGCTGATCTGCTTCAAAGGTTGCCTTCAACTCATTTTCATTGACGATCAGTGAGGTGAGCTTAGGAGGTGGCACTTCCGGCTGAGATTCATTCTGGACAACAACCTTTTGACTCTCTTTTCTCTTCCACACCATCCTTCCCTTTGCGGAAGAACGTTGCGGAACCTTAACTTCCTCAGTAGCTAATTGTTGACGACGATGTGCCTCTGCTCGCTTTCATTGCAACCTTCTTCTCAAAGTTCTAGGATTTCTCACAGGTTCTTTTGGAAACTTGGGATGCATGACCTTCTCCCACCTTTTACTTGGAGGTCGTTATGGAGGCTTAACCATACAAGAGTGATCTATATGCCGAGCCTCCTTCATCTTGGATCCAGATGCATAGATTCTGGCAGCATGGCGTTGCCCCCCAGGCCTTTGATTATGTTGGGCATGACGTTCCCTTTCCTTCTCAATCACCCAGTGAAGGTCATCTACAGCCAAAGTTCGCCCTTTATACGTCCTTCGAGAGATACTCCTTATGTCAGCAACATTAACTCCAACATCAACGTTCGAAAAAGGATTCTCATCAGCCCTCATGGCTTCCTTGGGTTTTTCAGGGAAACGAAGCAGCCCTTTGTCAATCTTGCCTTACAACACATTTTGAAAAATAACACAGTCATTAGTAGAGGGTTAAACCCCTATTTTGGTCCCTGAACTATTGTACGGACCCCCGATTTAGCCCCTGAACTAAAGAAATCCCTATTTTGGTCCATGAACTATTGTACGGACCTCTGAGTTGGTCCCTAAACTATTGTACAGACTCTTGAGTTAGTCCCTAAACTATTGTACGGATGCCCAATTTGGTCCCTACTGTTTACCAATTTAACCCTAACTTGGTCCTTCTATTAAATAATAGCTCAGGGACCAAATTGAGGTGAAATTGTAAATAGTAATGACCAAATTGGGGGTCCGTACAATAGTTCAAGGACCAACTTAGGCCAAATTATAAACAGTGGGGACCAAATCGAGGGTCCGTACAATAGTTTAAGGAACAAATCAGGGATTTCTTTAGTTCAGGGACCAAATCAAGGGTCCGTACAATAGTTCAGGGACCAAAATGGGGATTTAACCTTAGTAGAGTGTTTCCAGGAGTTATGAAACTTACAGTAATCTTTGGATGCAATTTCAGCAACCGTCAAGAGCCTATGCCCCTGTGGCAGCTTAATATGTCTTGACTTTTTCAGATAATTAAAGATTTCATTTGCTTTAGTCACATCAAATGTGTATTGTCTCCCAGATTCATACGAGAGATGCTTTGCAGCCGCCTCAACCTGTTGAGTGACTTTCACTAGATTAGGACAAGTTACTGGCTTGTCTACAAAGACCTCGGCAGCATCAAGGTCAAAAGCATCCTGATAATAAGTTCCTTGCGATGCTGCCTTTCTTTGGGATTCTCTCTTAAAAGGTTCTCATAACGTGCCACCTTATAAGAGAGCTCAAAAAGTCTATGAATTCCATCCCCTCAAACTTCTTTTGAAGTTCAATGTCTAAACCATTCTGAGCAAGCTTCACGAACTCTTGCTCTGGTAAGGCAACATGACACTTCATCCGGGCTTTTCTAAATTGCATAAGATAATTTTCAAAAGATTCCCTTGGTCGTTGAGTTAATCTAGAAAGATCAGCCATGGATATCTCAGGCTTTGAGCGGTAGAATTGAATATGAAACAAATCTTCCATTTGTCTCCAGGTAAATACAGAATTTTGCGGCAAACTTAGGTACCATGTCAGTGCAGTACCCATTAAAGAACTTGGGAAGAGTCTCAACTTCAAAAAATCATCACCCGATGCCTCCCCACATTGAATAGTGAACCTACCAATGTGTTCAATGGTTGACTAACTCGCGTCCCTAGAAAACAAAGTAAATTCAGGCACTTTGAATCCATGAGGAAATGGATTATCCCGATCTATGTAATCTGGATATGGCTTGTGATAGGAAGGACGAACCACTAGTCTTAAAGCTGGACCATATGTCTCCTGGACTAGATCAATCAGTTGATTTCTATCCAAGGGAGAGGGTGCTGCTTGTAGCCCTAATGGTTGAAAAGCATTATTTTGAAAGGTGGGTTATGGGGCTGCATTTGGACGACGTGCAGAAGGTACATATCTTTGTTGATTAGCGTTGAGTTGCTCAGTTGCACGGAATGTTGCTTCCACAGGATCATGTGGTCCAAGGATACCACTAGCAGGATTGTTTTGCTGCTACCTATTGAACTGCACCTAGACTGCACCAAAAGCATTATTTTGAGCATTGGGCATCTGTTGCACCACCTATGGCTGATTAATATGCCCCCCGTTTCCCCTGGGCAAAGGATCTAGAAGATTTTGCTGTGGTAATTCCATTGCTGGAGGTACGGGTTGCCTTGGAACATTTTGTTGCTGTCGAACATGTTCTATGGTTCTCTCAGAAACTACAGTGAAGGTTCTGCGACTTCCTGCTACTTCTTCTCGAATAGCTCGAGAATTGTCATTAATGGCCCTTTCAATAACATTCAAACATTGAGTGAAATGATCTGAATGTTGTCGTTGGGCTTGTAGAAAGCTTTGTAGACTACGCTCTATGTTTTAATTGGCTTCTTCTTGTAGCTTCCTTATCTGCTGAAGTTCTTGAGATATTTTATTACTTGACTCAACAAAATCAACTTTCTCCTCATCATCATTGTGATATATGGGATTGCCATATGAGCGATCAGCCAAGGGAGAAATAGGTGGAAGATGCTTCGGACTATTTTCACCTTCAGAACGTCTTGGACTCATAGGAGCCACTTCCAATTGTTGTGCAACTTCTTTTCCAACTCTCCTAGCCCCTGGCTATGGCTACTTTATGCCCAGGAAAAGCAAAAAGAGGATCAAAAAACTTTTCTTAATAAACGATCGCCAGTAGGAGGTCCCACTGGGCATGCCAAAAAGAGATTGTTACCCCAAAAAATCTCCTTAACACGTGGCAGATGAAATGGCGTGCCACTTGCTTTGCTCAAAACAAGAAAGATTTCTCCAACGACCCTCTCTTCTTTCCAAGTGTGGAACTCAACTTGTGAGTTGATGGAAGAACGTCGTAAATTGTGCCTTAAAGATCAGACGATTGGCCAAAACGAGGGATAAACTTCCTGCACAAAATGGGTTATATGACAAAATGCCCTGGATATGACTCCAAGGACTCCTCAAAGCTAATGTAATCAAGAAAAGTTAAGATTGCAAGGAAAATAAATGATCGCTAAACTACTGAAAATCTAAATGAACTTTAAATACGCAAATTGGATTGAAATAAAGCTTTAAAAGGAAATTTAATTGTAGCAAAAGTAAATTAAGTTAAAGTAAATAAAATTGGAAACAAAGAAAATCTACTGATAGCATGAAATATAAATTAACAGAAATGGAAATGAACATGAAATTAAATGTCGACATCATTTGATTGAATTAAAGGAAACTTGGAAAATAGAGAAGGAAAAGAAGCAATCCGATCACAAAGAAATTCTACTGAAGGAATGAAACTCACCATTACAAATCCAACAAATGAAGAGTTGAATTACTAAACTAATTTAGGCTGAAGCGTAGAGTTGAAATTAAATTAAAGGGTTTGAAACTAAGATGAATTTGAGCATAAAGAGAAATTGTGCTGAGTTTGTTGTGTGAGATGTCCATCCCTTGCTTGATCTTATCATTAGATATTTATAGCACCTTGGCAGCATGGTGGAGATCTGCGGCAGCATCTTGAAAAACCAACGGCAACATAATATCTGCAACAAATTGATTAATTTGTTGGTGCTGCGATTATCCTCTTGAAAGCTCGCAACAAGAGAAGGGTTTTGTTGCCGTTGTGGAAATAACCACTCAATCTCATCTGAAGAAATTCACACCAACTTTCAACTAATAAAATATCTGCCATCATGGGTGACACGTGACAGCACTCCATTTGTTGTAAAATTAGGTGTAAACAAAAATATAGACGCCGAGACCACGATGCTTGCCGGAGCACTTTAAACACATGAAGATGCCATAGGAGACCGAAGCCCATTGTAGATTCCTTTGGGTCTAGTCGACGCAGATCTTGTTCCCTGATTGAGATTGGAGGTCGCGCAACCGTCTCGTCATTGCCATCTGAATCCGACCACAACCAATTCTTGGAGATTGAAAACAAAGAGGATAGATCAAGCTCCAAAAAAACAAGATAAGAAGAAGGATATAAAACAAGATTTAGAAAGATTTTATTCAATTTTATTTTTTTTAAAAAGGGGCTTAAATTGGGGGGAAGAGGAAGATTACTGACATCGTCAAAATGGTTGAGGGGTGTGGGGATGACTGCTGGTGGTGGTAGATGCACGTGTTAGAAATAGGCAATTTAGGTTGTTGTGCAAAGTGAAATTGCCTAAATTTAACATTTAGTTTATTAGTTATAGGTTTATTATCATTTTGGTTTAGAAAGTTTATTTTCTCTCAAATTGGTCTATGAACTTCAAAAAAAATATATCAAAAGTCAAAATAATTGAGTTGTATGTATTTAATTAAATTTATTATTTTAAATTACTTAAATAATGATTTTCAAGTTGATTTTATGATGATTATTTCTTAAAAATAGAGTGAAAATAATATATGA